GCATCAGCTCCTCATTTTCCCCCCTCCCTCCCCGCCCCCCCTCCCTCATGAACCCTTGATGAAAGCCATATTAAGAAATTTCACTATACCACTACTGCCATCAACTCGATTCAGACCCAGTGACCCTGTAGGACTGGGTAGAACTGCTCCTGTTGGTTTCTGAGACAGAAACTCTCTCTGGGTATAGAAAGCCTCATTTTTCTTCCTTGGAATGGCTATTGGTTTCCAACTGCTGACCTTCTGTAGCAGCCCAACACAAAACCCACCATGCTACCACGGCTCCTCCCCAGATGCAGGAAGGGGGGTAAATAATGTACAGCCATTGTATGCCTGAGTGGAAAGGAAGTGAGATTTTCAGTACTTGCAGCCAGTCTCTATCTTAGAGAACAGTTCTTTGGTTCTTGGTTGACGTGGTAGCTTAGAGTTTCTAAGTGCTTGGCTACTAACAAGGTGCAGTTTACATCCATGTAAAGGCTCCTCAGAAGAAAAGTCTGGTAATCTACTTCCTTAAAAGGAAAATTAGCCACGGAAAACGGCCTGCTATGAGTCGGAATCGCCTCCCTCGTTGTTTTTTGGTTTTTTTTTCTTGACATTTTTTGTGTGTGACAGTTTTAAGTTTCAATTCCAACCCACACGATTTTATTCATGAAAACCCTCCTTAATTTCGATTTAAGGTGTGATGTTTACCAAGACCCATCATATCCCTCAATTTTGCACATTTTTGCACATATAAAATTCCCGTTGATTTACAGGATTATTTTGGATATTGAAGTTAAAAACCTAGGTCCTTGAATCCCATCTATGAATCAGTTGATTGGTTCTGTCAGAAATAATTATTTGGATCTCTGTATATTTATAAGGGACCCTGGTGGCGCTGTGGGCTAGGCATCGGGCTGCTAACCACAAGGTTTTTGGTTTCAACCACATATGGTTCTGATGGAGAAAGACGAGGTATTCTGCTCTGTCGAGATTTACAGCCTCAGAAGGATCGTTAGGAGTGGGGATCTTCCTTGATGGCTGTGAGGTTTTGCTTTGGTGATATACAAAAGAGCTGTGCCAGCCTAGTGGTCAAGTACTCGGCTGCACGCCCCAGCTGCGGCGAGGGAAAGATGTGGCAGTCTGCTTCCATGAAAATGACAGCGTGCCAGTACTCGACTCTAGGTTTGTGCCGAGTCAGAATCAATTCCAGCAGCAGTAGGCTTATTGCAAATACCTGCTGCTTGTTCACTGCTCTAATCTCTCTGAGTATCTTGTTAATGTCTTTGCTTGTTTATTGCCTGTTGCACTTGCTTACACCAAGCTCCCATTTTAGAATGTGAGAAAGAACTGTAAACCAGAGGGAGTGGAAAGGGCCGGAAGGAGCTCTGAAAGGCTTCCTTCAGCTCTGAATGCCGATGATCACGCTGAGTACTGGGTGGAGATGAATGACTTCACTTAAGCAAAACCAACAAATAGCCTGATGTTGTGTTCATACCAAAAAAGCTTTATTTTTACTGGAGCCCCATTGTTGGCTAAAACATTATCTGACATCCTTATAGCATATCCTTACTTTCCATCTCCCTTGTCTCATGTAATCCTCACAATCACAGTTTGAACTAGATGCTGCCATTGAGGAAACTCAAGCCCCGAAGCCTCCTGATTTGGTGACAGGCACCCAGGCGGGGTATGGCAGGGTGGGGACTGGGTCTAGATCTTCGGGGCTGATGCCAATTTTCTCGTCATGGTTGCCGTTCTCAGTTTGGATCTCTGCTGGGTTTTATACCGTCTCGGACGGGTTTGCCCTTTGGGGAGTCCTCTCCTCTTCACGCCCTCTCTATCGCTTTGACTCGGTTACAGAGGGAAGTGGAGATCCTGATGTTTCTCAGTGCCATTGTCATGATGAAGAACCGCAGATCCAGTAAGTATCGCCGGGTTCAAGGTCTCTTTCTCAGGAAGAGGCCAGAGGCCATCCAGAGGTGCTTTCATTGGAGTTATGAGAGGGATGAGGGTTTTGGGGGGTGGGGGACACTGGGGTGAACTAGTCCTTACAGTTCCTTGCCAGGAGGTGCTCTCGTTGGAGTTAAGGGTGTTTTGTTTTGTTTTTTAATTGTTATCTGTGGGGAGGTGTTGAGTGAACTAGTCCCACATATCATGCCAAGGCTGAACTTGACCTGGACTCCCACCTCCTTTTTAAGCTGCCCCAGAAAGAGGGTGCAGCTTAATTTGACCCATGATATCTCTGTTTCAGTTACCGTGGAGCAACATATCGGCAACATCTTCATGTTTAGTAAAGTGGCCAACGCCATTCTCTTCTTCCGCCTGGACATCCGCATGGGCCTGCTTTACCTCACGCTCTGCATAGGTGAGGACACTGCCTTTCTTTGGCTCCTTTGTAACCTAAGATCCCCCTGGGTAAAGGCTTGGTTTGAGGAGCCAGATCTCAGTCCCAAACCAGTCTCTCTGCAACCTTCTTGCCTATCTTGCACCTAACTACTGATGTATGGAGCTGGGATGAGACTTGAGTCTCCTACAACATTTGGGAGGAAGAGAATGTATCCCCAGTATGTTCACAACTGTTTCTTGGGTAACTGAAGTAAACCTTCGGCCTGAGGCCTTATGTGTTTCTCCTGGCTGCTGCTTTTTGTCTTCAGTGTTCCTGATGACGTGCAAGCCCCCGCTGTACATGGGCCCGGAGTACATCAAGTACTTCAATGATAAAACCATTGATGTGAGTACCTCCTCCCTCCGTTTCTAGGACCTTGGTGGGTGACTGTAATTGTACTCTTTGGTCACTAGGAGGAGCAATGCAACAGTGCTTCTGAATGGAAGTCAGGGCACTGTGGCTTCTGATGGCAGCTAGGGAAGAGGGCTGAGGGGAAGCCAGAAAAGGGTGGGTGGGTAGCGTGGATGATCCATCTTTCCCTTCCTCCCTGTGTGGCAGGAGGAGCTTGAGCGGGATAAGAGGGTCACTTGGATTGTGGAATTCTTTGCCAATTGGTCTAACGACTGCCAGTCATTTGCTCCTATCTACGCTGACCTCTCCCTCAAGTGAGTAGTGCAGGGGGAGGGATGGTGGTGGAAATTGAGACAGTGGACCCTCCCCTGTCACTGTTGTTTGGCCTTGATTTGATATAGTACCCCAATCAAAGCTGTCCCCCTTCCCTTCAGCTGATTGCGTCCTTCTGTTTCAGTTTGTTAAATACTTATTCTTCTCAGGTACAACTGTACGGGCCTTAGTTTTGGGAAGGTAGACGTTGGCCGCTACACTGATCTTAGTACACGGTACGTAAGAACCTGGGCAAGGAGGCTGAGCCAGGGGCCACATTGCATGATAGATGTAGATGGATTTACAGTCTTCACTGGGCCTTGTAGGTACAAAGTGAGCACATCACCCCTCACCAAGCAGCTCCCTACCCTGATCCTGTTCCGAGGTGGCAAGGAGGTGATGCGGCGGCCACAGATTGACAAGAAAGGACGAGCTGTCTCTTGGACCTTCTCTGAGGTACCTGAGAGGTTGGCCAAGAGGTTCAGAAAAGGGTGTGGAATAGTAGGTAGGCTTTGGAACGCAACCTGGACATAAGTCTCAACTCTGCCACTAACTTTGAAAGCATGGACTAGTTACAAGACCGCAGGCATGAAATTACAAAATAATAATAATGTTATCAGTTATTAGATTCTTTGCCAGAAATTTAGAACACCAGTTTGTGAGGGTAATTTCATTTGTGAGCGCGAATGAAGCACACATGTAGCCTTGGAACTGGGGAATGGCTTTGATTTTGGGCAAAATTTGCAAGTGCACTACTTTCTAATCTACTTTGTACTGCTTCACAATCTCCTATTTATCTTTCTCAATGTCAAAGATCTTGCCTGCTTGGTGTCTGGGCTTACACAGCTGCTGCTCCTTGAGGCAGGCATCTGTTGAGATGTGTGGAGATTTTCACACAATTTCTTAGCAATTTTGGTGGAGGTGGAGATGACAAATATGTGGTGTGTTCTATGCAGAGGAACTTGATTGAGAGACAGAGTCCACAAGTAGCAAGCCACTGCTCCGCTGCTTCAAGGTGTGGTTGGCTGTTGTAGTGCACTCAGAGGCACCTGGGAAGAAAGCCCCTGTCTGTCTATTCAGCAACTGAAAACCCTGTGGAGCACAGCTCTCTGGCGTTCCTGGAGTCAGCAACTGGTGCCTACAGAAAGAACCCTGATTCTCTTTTCCGCAGGAGAATGTAATCCGAGAATTCAACCTGAATGAACTCTACCAGCAGGCCAAGAAGCTGTCAAAAGCAGGAGATCGTATCCCTGAGGAGCAGCCGGAGACCCAAGCTTCCACCACAGTGCCAGATGGGGAAAGCAAGAAGGACAAATAGGAGCCCCTATTCACAGTCTCTTCCCAAGCTGCCAGCCTTGTCCTAGGCCTGGCCTTTTGTTATTTATGGCCCCCCCCACCCCGCCCCCATTTGCTTGCACCTGGGGGAGGTGGGCTCTGCTTCTGATTTTAAAGAGGCAACCAGTAAACTGTCTTGCACTGTTCAGAGAGGCCTCCCCGCTGTGGTCAACAATCTTACTGGAAGATGGGCATGAAATCTCATGTAATGAAGCAGGAAATGGAGTCCCTTCAAGTTTGGATTTCTTTCGTTTCTTTTCTCCCTGGCTTGAGTCAGTGTGACAACTGCTGTCCACCAGTCACACATCTCTGCCACACTATGCCATCACTCATCTTGGTGCCGCTGTGCAGCCTCCTTAGATTAAACACGAGTCTATGATTGATGCCAAGGTACAGAGTCAGTGCTAAGATTTTTCCTTGTGGGTCTCAAGGAGCCTTGCTTCCTTAGGCCCTCTAGCTTGGCTATGGCCTTCAGTAAGAAGTGGAAACCAAACTTGCTTTCTGGTCCTGAGGAGAGAATCTCCCTCAGCGTCTCTATCACTGAGGATAGTACTAAATGTGGGGGTTGGGGAGGGAATGGAGACTTTGTATGGGGTGGGCCTGAGGCTGGATTGTGGTCTCTGTTATAACACTCTAACTTTAATGATCCCCTCCTACTACCACCGCCAATGGACAGTTTCCAATAATAAAATGACTGGGATTTCCTTTTGATTCTGCCCTTGTGTTTCTCAGTATAAGAAGGGCCAGTTTGGTTCCATCAGATGGCTGTGCACCTTTGTCCCCAGGATTGGCAAGAGTAGTGGAAGGCTACTTTGCATAAGGACTCACTCAGTGGTAGGTACACCCTTTATGCCCGAGGCCAGGGTATATCCAGATACCTGCCTGGGCATCTCATGCACGCTCCTCTTGTCGGTGGGGTTTGCCTGCTGCTCAGCTGCTGGGCAAGTTTCAGTAGATAGAGCATCTAAAAACGGACTAGCATGAAAGGACTCCTGGTCTGAAATTAGCCGATAAAAGCCATATGGATCCATAGGTCTGAGGGGGCTGGCAGCTAATTGGTTTCAGTACAGGCT